CTGTCTATGTATCTATGTATGTATCTATCTATCTATCTATCTATCTATCTATCTATCTATCTATCTATCTATCTATCTATCTATCTATCTATCTATCTATCTATCTATCTATCTATCTATCTATCTATCTATCTATCTATCTATCTATCTATCTATCTAGCTATCTATCTATCTATCTATCTATCTATCTATCTATCTATCTATCTATCTATCTATCTATCTAGCTATCTATCTATCTATCTATCTATCTATCTATCTATCTATCTATCTATCTATCTATCGATCGATCGATCGATCGATCGATCGATCGATCGATCGATCGATCGATCGATCTATCTATCTATCTATCTATCTATCTATCTATCTATCTATCTATCTATCTATCTATCTATCTATCTATCTATCTATCTATCTATCTATCTATCTATCTATCTATCTATCTATCTATCTATCTATCTATCTATCTATCTATCTATCTATCTATCTATCTATCTATCTATCTATCTATCTATCTATCTATCTATCGATCTATCGATCGATCTGTCGATCTATCTATCTGTCGATCTATCTATCTATCGATCTATCTATCTATCGATCTATCTATCTATCGATCTATCTATCTATCTATCTATCTATCTATCTATCTATCTATCTATCTATCTATCTATCTATCTATCTATCTATCTATCTATCTATCTATCTATCTATCTATCTATCTATCTATCTATCTATCTATCTATCTATCTATCTATCTATCTATCTATCTATCTATCTATCTATCTATCTATCTATCTATCTATCTATCTATCTATCTATCTATCTATCGATCGATCGATCGATCGATCGATCGATCGATCGATCGATCGATCGATCGATCTATCTATCTATCTATCTATCTATCTATCTATCGATCGATCGATCGATCGATCGATCGATCGATCGATCTGTCGATCTATCTATCTGTCGATCTATCTATCTGTCGATCTATCTATCTATCTATCTATCTATCTATCTATCTATCTATCTATCTATCTATCTATCTATCTATCTATCTATCTATCTATCTATCTATCTATCTATCTATCTATCTATCTATCTATCTATCTATCTATCTATCTATCTATCTATCTATCTATCTATCTATCTATCTATCTATCTATCTATCTATCTATCTATCTATCTATCTATCTATATATCTATCTATCTATCTATCTATCTATCTATCTATCTATCTATCTATCTATCTATCTATCTATCTATCTATCTATCTATCTATCTATCTATCTATCTATCTATCTATCTATCTATCTATCTATCTATCTATCTATCTATCTATCTATCTATCTATCTATCTATCTATCTATCTATCTATCTATCTATCTATCTATCTATCTATCTATCTATCTATCTATCTATCTATCTATCTATCTATCTATCTATCTATCTATCTATCTATCTATCTATCTATCTATCTATCTATCTATCTATCTATCTATCTATCTATCTATCTATCTATCTATCTATCTATCTATCTATCTATCTATCTATCTATCTATCTATCTATCTATCTATCTATCTATCTATCTATCTATCTATCTATCTATCTATCTATCTATCTATCTATCTATCTATCTATCTATCTATCTATCTATCTATCTATCTATCTATCTATCTATCTATCTATCTATCTATCTATCTATCTATCTATCTATCTATCTATCTATCTATCTATCTGTCTGCCTGCCTGTTTTTCCGCCCGTCCATTCGTCTGCCAGCCTGTCTAATCTAATACAATAATCTAATAGTACGTATATGTGTTCATGGGTATACCTATGTGTGCAAGAGGAAGAGACTGGAGATACGCGACATAATATTCTCTAAACAGCACTGGAAGCATAAATCCTCCACATGTGGAAGCTTCGCTACAGTTGTTCTAAGTATGTATGTCTTCGTGTATGCTCGTCATTACGTGGTTGTATGCTTTCAGTTTTTAAACGTGGTTCTAAATTTAAAACGACAATTAACCCCATAATGTCTCAATTCCTGTACCACCAAAAACCATCAGGAATGCTAATCACTGCCCCATGCGCAAAGGGAAAATTATATGTGCGTACATAAATATACGTATGTGTATGTATCTTACCCCTCTCCCTCTTCTTTTCACAAATGCTTTAGTACTAAGACAAGACCCACGCACATTGGGATGCATGTTACTTGGTGGTCATTGAGTCCTCCAGTATTACTATTTTATACTGTTTAACTCCATGCAGAATGGCAAGCATCAGAGGTTTGGGGTAGTTAGCAGTTAGATATTTTCACTGAGGCATGCGCGTATGTTTGGACAAAAGCAGGTAGATATATTAGCTGATTCTGCATCACGTGGTGGTGAATTGATGTGTTAGGGGCTGGTTTTTGGAAGGGCCCTTTGGGAGCAAGTAAACAGTAAACAGTCCCGAGCTAGGAGTGATCAGATCTGTCCGGTGCTCAGGGGAGTGGCGTGACCGACATACAATGATACTGTTACTGGTATTACCGGAAATGGAACTCTGCTTGCTGCTGAAGATGTGGACGGAGCGCTAATTGGGAATGCCCCGAGTGCTATGATATCGCTTATTTACTGATATCATGTAGAGTTGAACAGAGTGTATGGGATTGGAGTCTGTTGAATTCGCATTCTTAAAATGGCTTCTTGAAACACTTGGTGTCAGTCTTTGGAGCTGCAATTCCAGAGAGAGTTATTTAGAAAAAAAAAATACAAATCGACATTATTCCCATCTGTATATAACTGTCGTCAATCTAGTTATTTCCCCTGATCATCTTAACCCGCCAGCTTCCATCCGTCCTCCTGTGATTCCCGTCGCTGTACCCCAAACAACTCCAAAAATCTCCAGCCGGACCCCCAGGCTTTTTTTCCCTGGGCGCGACGGGGAATCTCGGCCTCAAACGTGGACGACTTAACGGGGCATCGATCAGCAGCAATTCCATCCAGAGACGGAAGTTCCCAAGGGCCGGCCACCCCTCATTAACTATCTTAATCTGTGGAACACAGAGCTAATGGCGCCTCTCGTGTCGATAGTGCTGCGGGTGTTTAAACGAGGAATGACGAGATCAGAAATGCCCGTAAACTAATTGAGATGGGGTTCTGGAGGATTTTTGAAGTTAGCTAAACTGGAGGAACACAATGGGGCGTGTGGAGACGGACGTGGTCGGGAAGATGGTTAAAATAAATGATATTATGATGTCTTTCGCATACTGGCACACGTACAAAAATATATGTATGTGTTTATGCAAAAACAAACAATATACCTGTATGCAGCATAGAGACGCACATATTGCTTTTGCGCGCGTGAGCGCGCGTCCAGTAATTAGCGCAGTAGCCTGATGAGTCGTGTATTTTTACAAAAGGGGAAATAATTTATACAGACGTTGCCTAATTTTATAATGTTATTTATTTATTTTAAGAAGAAGAAAAAAGAGATGTTATAAGGTCATGTCGTCGAGCTGGTGTGTCACCGGAGGGAATTATGGGTTATCGGAGAGTCACATCACATGATACCATAGAATAATTATGGCAAAGATGGCGGGTGTGGTACCTCTGGATTAGGTGCTGGTAGTACATTGTTTAAGTCTTAGCTAGGCTGCAAAATTTGGTCTGAAATATGTGGTTTGTGAATCATGCCGACGGTGTATTATTGTTACTAGCATATGTTGTTTGTGTTCTTATTATCGTCAGTTGTTGTGAGTACGCCTCTCTGTTGCTAAGTGTAGTCCCATATATGGGAAATCAAGCATGTCATAGGTATCTACTAATATTTGGTGTATTGTCGTATTTTAAATGTACCATGGAAGTAGCGGATGGTGCGGGTGCCGTGGGGTCGTTTGGGCAGAGCGGGGAGGTTTAGCGGGTAGCGAGGTGTAGTGTGAGTGCCGCCAGATGGTTCAGCGTTGTGGTTCATGTAGCGAGGTGTAGTGTGAGTGCCGCCAGATGGTTCAGCGTTGTGGTTCATGTAGCGAGGTGTAGTGTGAGTGCCGCCAGATGGTTCAGCGTTGTGGTTCATGTAGCGCGGCGGAGTTCAGGGCAGCTCTGAGCGGTCTGCCAAAAAAAAAAAAAACGCCTGTTTATTTTTTCTTTTGCTGTCCAATTGACTGTCACTGGTAGATCATCGCGCTACCTGGTGAACCACCCGGTGGCACCCAGTAGTCCCCGTGTATATATATATATATATATATATATATATATATATATATATATATATATATATATATATATATATATATTTCCTGTCTGTTATAATCGATGATACCAGCGGAAGTGCAGATATGTATCAGTTTACGAAAGTATTCCATAAAGTTAAATTTCAAACCAAGCGCTGATAATATTAACCACCATTATCATTATACTAACATCCTCACCTATAGGTTCAGGACCCTGTCATGCTATGATACAGAGATGTGGCGGCATATAAGGTGCCGCCCGAGCTGTGAAATCACAATACAGTTTGAACATTTAAGGGGCGACATTTGAAGACTTTGATCATCTTGAGAACATCTACCGCACTCCCTGCTTAGGCTTTGCGAACTCGTTTCGTAATTCTGAGAGGCCCTGATGGATCCCAGCTGCAGGCAGGCAATTAGACAGCAGACCGCCTAGCGTTGTTTCGACAGTGGAATTAGGAGTCGACTGTTGAGTTGTCGTGACAAACTACAGAACCTTAAAACAGCCACTCGCCAAATGTTGGAGATAGTTCTGCAAATAACTTCACAAATCTCTTCACTATCATTATCCAGTCAATCATCAACTTCACTATCATTATCCTTTCCATCATCATTCTCTCTATCATTTTCATTTTCACTATCATTATCATTTTCACTATCATTATCATTTTCACTGTCATTATCCTTTCCATCATCATGTGGACTATCATTATCCATTCCATCATCATCATCCCTAGCTGTATTTATTGACTAACCAGTAAACTTCATTTCTCTATCGTCTGCAGCATGTAGAAAGGCGGATACGATTGGAGGTCGCCAGAGGTAAGAGCCAGTATGACCCGTTGTCTCTACGTATAGTTACGTTGTATCTGATCTTGTTCCAGTCGTCGTCCTAAATGTTTAACGTGTGGAACTGTCATCTTGAACAATAAATGGATGGATGAGTTAGTGAATGACTGAGTGTGTGAGTCCACAAGTGAGTGCACTGATGAAGACTGGGTTGATAAATATATAAGACATCAGTTATCATCACTGCACTAGAGACATACCGCAAGTGTTTATGTACCGTAGAGTTCCCATGTATGTAGATAATAAAGTGCTTCTGTACTATAGAGTTACCATGTATATAGATCATAAAGTGCTTCTGTACCGTAGAGTTTCCATGTATGAAGATCATGCTGCCGTAGAGTTCCCATGTATGTACATCATGCTGTATTTTCATAGAAAAAAACTAAAATAAATTAAACTCACAAATATGTTTTGAGTCGGAAAAAAATAGCTTTAAAAACCAAGCGGATTCGGGTTCGATCCCAGGTGCAGGCGTTTTGGCAGCAGACCGTCTTTCGCTGGCTACGACAGTGGTATAGAGAATCGACCGTTTAGAGCACTGGCAAACTATTTAACGTAGAATGTGCCTAGAGAAGCCATAACAACCAATAAATGCTGGGGTTGGTTCTGCATCACCATCATCAACTTCGACATCTGCCGTTAAGCGTTGTGGGGAGGAACGGTTTAAGATACATTGCTTGATGGGCAGCTATAGTTATTGCCATGTCGATGTAGAATCTCTTTAAATACATCAATCCATGTTCTCCTTTAGCGGCCTTATTATTTCATTTCAGATGTTTTCATGTTCAGTGCTTGCGTTAGTAATTGTTTCAGCTGCATTCTTACTTGATTACCAAACCTTGTTATTTTCTGTTTCTCAATGAATTTGCTGCATGGTGTTGTACCTACAGTCTGTCTGATAATATCATTTCTAACTTTGTCTCCGATGGTTAAGTTGACGGCTTTGCTCAGCATCTCATTTCACAGGTGGTAATTGCACGTAGGTTAGTCCTTGTTTTAGTTTGATGTGTTCCAAATCTGATACTGGTAGCATAGTGTTTATATGAATCTGTTGTTTATAATCCGTTTCTTGGCGATCATACCTTTGATAGGATGCCTTATAACGGTGGCAGCTGGTATATAAGTGCACTGACTTGTTGGCATCTTGTTTATATTTCCCGATCTATTCTTCCGTCCTCGGAGAATATACTACCTAGATATTTTCATTCAAGAACTTGCTTCAGACAAGTACCGTTCAGTCCAATATGTAGGGGACTAGGAATTCTGCTGACCTGTATTACTTGGTTCTGCAACGACCTGGAAAAGATACGCAGCTAACAAACTGATTATCTTAATTCCACACAGCTGTATTCTACATGGCTCATTCTCTTTTTACAGAACGGCGTTTTGCACAAAAAACCAACTTCATGGCTCCACGAACGATCTCTAATGTAAGAAGACATGACATTGAGAGCACTGTGCAAACTGATTACCAGATGATAGTACCTAAAAACTACAGATTTAGGAAATTAGAACCAAGGGTTAAAGAATCGAAGGTTCTGGACAGAGTGACAAATGCTGAAAGACCTGGCGTAGTGACAAATGCTGAAAGACCTGGCGTAGTGACAAATGCTGAAAGACCTGGCGTAGTGACAAATGCTGAAAGACCTGGCGTAGTGACAAATGCTGAAAGACCTGGCGTAGTGACAAATGCTGAAAGACCTGGCGTAGTGACAAATGCTGAAAGACCTGGCGTAGTGACAAATGCTGAAAGACCTGGCGTAGTGACAAATGCTGAAAGACCTGGCGTAGTGACAAATGCTGAAAGACCTGGCGTAGTGACAAATGCTGAAAGACCTGGCGTAGTGACAAATGCTGAAAGACCTGGCGTAGTGACAAATGCTGAAAGACCTGGCGTAGTGACAAATGCTGAAAGACCTGGCGTAGTGACAAATGCTGAAAGACCTGGCGTAGTGACAAATGCTGAAAGACCTGGCGTAGTGACAAATGCTGAAAGACCTGGCGTAGTGACAAATGCTGAAAGACCTGGCGTAGTGACAAATGCTGAAAGACCTGGCGTAGTGACAAATGCTGAAAGACCTGGCGTAGTGACAAATGCTGAAAGACCTGGCGTAGTGACAAATGCTGAAAGACCTGGCGTAGTGACAAATGCTGAAAGACCTGGCGTAGTGACAAATGCTGAAAGACCTGGCGTAGTGACAAATGCTGAAAGACCTGGCGTAGTGACAAATGCTGAAAGACCTGGCGTAGTGACAAATGCTGAAAGACCTGGCGTAGTGACAAATGCTGAAAGACCTGGCGTAGTGACAAATGCTGAAAGACCTGGCGTAGTGACAAATGCTGAAAGACCTGGCGTAGTGACAAATGCTGAAAGACCTGGCGTAGTGACAAATGCTGAAAGACCTGGCGTAGTGACAAATGCTGAAAGACCTGGCG